GGGACTCTCTGGTTCTGCGGGGACTATCGTCGACTAAACGCCGTAACAGAAAGGGACCTCTACCCGCTGCCACGCATCGACTACACTCTGGACCGGCTGCGCCACGCCCGATTCTTTTCGTCGATGGACCTGAACAGTGGGTACTGGGAGATCGAGATCGACGAACGGGATCGTGACAAGACTGCCTTCGTCACGCCGGACGGACTGTACGAATTTAAAGTGATGCCGTTCGGACTGTGCACAGCACCAGCGACGTTCCAACGCGTAATGGACACCGTTCTTTCCGGCCTGAAATGGAAAAGCTGCCTTGTCTATCTCGACGACGTCGTGGTATTCGCAAGCGACTTCGACGAGCACCTAAGACGTTTGAGAGCCGTGCTACAGGCTATCCAGAATGCTGGACTGACACTAAAGCCGTCAAAATGTCGGTTCGCTTACGGCGATCTCAAATTCCTGGGTCATGTCTTGAGTGCTCAGGGTGTAAGCCCTGATCCTGCAAAGACATCCGCTTTTGCTAAATTCCTGAAGCCATCAGACAAGAAAGCCGTCAGAAGATTTCTTGGGCTATGCGCTTACTACAGACGTTTCGTTCGCGATTTTGCCAAAATTTCTACACCGCTCACGCATCTGACGAAGGACGACGTGAACTTTCAGTGGGGGGAGGAGCAAGAACAAGCGTTCAACGAACTGAAGGAAAGACTCCAGTCACCCCCTATCCTCGGGCACTTCGAGCCATCAGCGGAAACGGAAGTTCACACGGACGCCAGCAACGACAGACTCGGCGCGGTACTCGTTCAGAGGCAAGACGGAGCAGAGAGGGTGATCGCTTACGCAAGCAGGGCACTGTCCAAGGCAGAGAAAAATTACTCATCGACCGACAAGGAATGTCTCGCTGTCATCTGGCCGTTAACCAAGTTCGACCCGTACCTGTACGGGACCCCGTTCCGAGTTGTCACGGACCACCACGCTCTCTGTTGGCTCGCCAACCTCAAGGACCCGTCAGGACGCCTCGCTCTCTGGAGCCTTTGACTGCAATAATACGACGTAACCATTGTGCATAAGTCTGGCCGCAAGCACAACGACGCCGACTGTTTGTCTATGGCCCCAGTCGAATCTCCTACCAAAAGCACTGACGACGACGATGACACCTGTTTCCTCGGCGCAGTTACAGAAACCGACATGGAAGCACTTCAACGAGACGACCCGGAACTTCGCCTTCTAATTGACCACTTCGGAGGTCAAGGAAGTTCAGTTGCGCGAGTCTTGGCCCGAGACTTGTCAAGCTTCATTCTGCGGTGAGGCATGCTCTTCAAGAAGAACTTTGGAACGAGCAACCCTGCCTGGCTGCTGGTTGTTCCGGCCAACCTGCGAGAAGAAATCTTTCAAGCATGTCACGACGACCCGACGGCTCGACACCTCGGCTACAGCAGGACGTTCGCCCGGATTCGTGACAAGTACTACTGGCCGAGACTCCCGAAAACAGTCCATCTGTACACACGATCGTGCCATGAGTGCCAACGACGTAAGAGGCCTCCGACGAAGCCAGCAGGACTCCTGCAGCCAATACCCGCTCAGACTATGCCGTTCCAGCAAATCGGAATGGACTTACTAGGGCCGTTCCCAAGTTAAGGTATCTGGCACTATAAGCTGTAGTATCAGTGACCACATTCCCATTTTCTTGTCGATACAAAATTATAAAATACCGAAAAAAGTAAAAAGTACCGCCACCTTCCGTAAAATGTCCGATGACTGCCTCCTGGCATTTAGGAATGCAGTTCTTAACTGTGACTGGAGCTTTGTTTATTCTAGCTTAAACGTCGATGTCTCTTATAATACTTTCTTGGACGTTTTTAAACAACTTTATCATTTGCATTTTCCGTTAAAAACCGTAACCGTAAACAAAAAGATAAGGAAACCCTGGGTGACCGCCGTACACATTAAAATGATGCATAAAAAAGACCGCCTGTACACGGCTTTCCTAAAAACGAAAGACCCAAACAGGCTCGCATCTTTTAAGAAATTTAGGAATGATCTAACTTCTAAACTTAGAAAAGCAAAATCTTCATACTATAAGCAAATGTTCCATAATGTCACTAGAGAGCGCCCCGATGTGGTTTGGAAAATAATAAATGAAGTCATAAATCGTACAAAGGTGTCCCCCTCTATCGGTGAATTAGAAATAGACGGTCAAGTTATGTCCGATGAAAGTCTGGCGGAATGCTTTAACACTCACTTTTCGTTTGAACAACCGACTGCTTTTAATCCTAGTGCCCTTTCATATGTAAGGCATAATAACGATACTTTTTTTCTAAATCCAACTGACGAAATTGAGATATGTAATATATTCTTAGGACTAAAAAACAGCAAAAGTAGTGACGTTGATCAATTACAAATAAAGCCGGCTAAATATGTAATAGATATAATCGCCCCATGCTTAGCACACATATATAATTTGGCATTATCATCTGGCCAATTTCCAGCAAACATGAAGTTGGCAAAAGTTTCTGCTATATATAAAGGAGGCGATAAGAACGTCCCGAATAATTACAGGCCTATATCAGTATTACCTATCTTCTCTAAGGCACTTGAAAAAACTATACTCCCACGGCTAAATTTGTTTTTTTACAAAACATTCTATACTATCGGACTGTCAATTTGGTTTTCGACAAGGTAAATCCACTGAAGCCGCCTTATTACTTCAAAAAGAAATTATATTGCGAAATATTAAAAAAAGGCTTCTGACGTTAGGTGTATTTATAGACTTCAGTAAAGCGTTCGATGTTCTTAATTACCGCATTCTTCTTGCTAAACTTGGCAACTATGGTGTCCGCGGAGTACCCCTTGCTTTACTTACATCATATCTACAATATAGGAAACAGTGTGTAGTAATTGACGGTCATTACTCTTCCTTTCATAATGTTATTGCTGGTGTGCCGCAAGGAAGCATACTTGGGCCTCTTCTATTTAATGTATACATAAATGATATTGTTAACATCGATCACCAAGTTCAGTTTGTTATTATGCTGATGATACGAGCCTCTTTGTTTCTGCTACTGATGCTGATGTTCTGATATGTAAAGCGAATAATATCTGAAGTAAATTTGACATGTGGTCCAAAGTTAATGGCCTTAAAGTAAACACCCAAAAATTTAAAGCCATTTTATTTAGATCTATTAATAAACCAGCTCTGGTTAAAAATGAAATCAAGCTTGGTCCCTATTGAAAATTCCATCAAGGTACGTAATTTGGGACACTGACTGCCAGTCAGCAGCCCTGGTGGAACGTGCCCTGATGGTCCATCAGACGACGTCTGACTGCCACTGATGGAATGTCCCAAATTACGTTTGTGGTGGTCTTTGATGGAACGTATTGTGGTGGTCTTTGATGGAACGTATTGTGGTGGTCTTTGATGGAACGTATTTGATGGTAGGTGTGATTGTGATCACTGCTGAGCTGATAGGATAGGCTAACCAGATTGCAGCGTTGCCAGAGAAGCTATTACATACTTTCGACTGCCATAGGATCACTGCAAGTTAACTTCAAGGAGAACAGCCAATAAAATGACAAGTAAAATGCAAAATCAAACGTGTTGTATCTTTATTAGTTCACAGAAAACGCCTGCCTTGAGCGATGCTCGATCTGAAAAGGTAAAACAAACAGCACAGTTAGAATAAATTAAGTTAAAGCAAGTGGTAACTGCAATGGTGGAACTGACAAATGGTGATTTGGAGCTCTTGTAGCAGGCAAAAACTGGTTTTGTGGCAGACATTCTCACTTTTGGAGCAAACATTTTATCAATGTTATTGCGTCATTTCCAATGCAGAAGTTCAAAGATGCTATAACAACTTGGAACCTAATGCCGGTGCTGAGGGTTTCTCAGCAATGGTGACAGCTGCTCATAATGAATTCGAACAAGGGAATAAGTGTGTGCCCGTCCTTATTTCTTGTTTTTTCTTTCACTTTTGAAATTTGCGTTTTTTAGGCAACAGGGACATCCTTCACAGATGGGCCCACGGGCACCCCAAGCATGTTTCAGAGAAACGCCCTCGATGTCTGAACCTTTTCGGGACGACCGTATACTTTAATTCACAAAACGTATGCGACTCAGCTGAAGCTACCCAGGTAGCACCAAACATTGTAGTAACGTTATTTTATTGTTGCGTATGTTTATATAACTTTATGTGTTATACCTGAACATTAATGTAACGTTCAAGTTAAACATATTATGTTTTAGTTGTATTTGAAACATTAGTATAACGTTCCAGTAAAACATATAATGTTATATGTTGTGTTATTAACGTTAATATAACAACAGATATGTAACTGCGAAATAACATTAAAAATAGAACGTTCAAATAATAATTTTGGAACATTTATTACTAACGTTATTTCTGTGTTAATATTGAAACGTTAATGTAACATCACATATGTAACTGTGAAATAACGTTAAAAATAGAACGTTCAAATAATGATTTTGGAACATTTATTACTAACGTTATTTCTGTGTTAATATTGAAACGTTAATGTAACATCACATATGTAACTGTGAAATAACGTTAAAAATAGAACGTTCAAATAATGATTTTGGAACATTTATTACTAACATTATTTCTGTGTTAATATTGAAACGTTAATGTAACATCACATATGTAACTGTGAAATAACGTTAAAAATAGAACGTTCAAATAATGATTTTGGAACATTTATTAGTAACGTTATTTCTGTGTTAATATTGAAACGTTAATGAAACATCACATATGTAATTGTCAAATAATGTTAAAAATAGAACTTTAAAATAATGATTTTGGAAGATTTATTACTAACATTACTAACATTATTTCAGTGTTAATAATAGAACGCTAATGTAACTTTATTTGTAGAACAATAAAATAATGTTGAAAAAAAAACATTCAAGTAACTTTATTTGTAAAACAATAAAATTATGTAAAAAATATATGTTCGCCGGTTCCTTTTTTTTTTTTTTGCCCGATTTTTTACAGGTCTTTCTGAAAAGTACTCTACCTGCCCTGTGATAGTTGCAAGGAGGTGAAGGAAGAGGATTAAGTACGGGAGAAAACGGAAAGAAGAAAAAAGGAACTTTTTCTCAGTTAATTAATTCGAGGCTAGGTGGCGCAAGCTACCGCCCGTTATAAAGGGAACAGCCGGAACAGCCAATATTCATCCATCCGCGTTCCCGCCACTGCAACTGTGGCCCCTGCCACCGCTGGTATCGCCGGTTCGATTTCTTCGAGCGAACTTCTGGGACAGTTTGAATAGCTTGAGCTAGTTTGAACTTTGAGTTACTTTGATTTCCAGTTAAGCTACGTCCAGCCGCGTCCACAACGGTGACTGCTGACTGATAAAGAGGACAACCGAACAGCTTCTGGACGGCGGGACTCGAGAACCGTAAGTAACCACCTTTCTGATAACCACTGTGCACGTGCTTATTTTCTTGAAAACAATCTGACGTAAACTGGTATCCTGTCGTTCTCTTTGTTTCAAAAGTAACAAGAGGGGGAAAAATGAAATGACATAGAAAACCGTTACATCGTCTGTGCAACCGGCAAAAAAGAATTATTGCCGAGAGTGTCCGCGACCATCTTGCAGACATTTTTCCGAACTCAGTTTTTGTGGCGGCGAATAGGGATTTGTTGGTCGACAGAGCAGAGGACAGTGACAACGGAGCGAAAGAGGTTTTAAGCAGTGCTACCGAACGGTTTCAGTGATGTTTGCGTGGACAGATTCAGAGTCGGGTGGTACTGAAATCCGGTCGTAAGGTCTTTTGAGCTTGGCAAGCGAGCTATAGTAGCGACATGGGCTAGGTCATCAGTGCGACGGTGTGCCCAGAGGTTCTTTGCGATTTTGGAAATTCTTCGTGAAATTTGGGCAAATGCTAGTGAGAGGTCTGGTCCCACATGGAGACACGACTGTTTGTTTTGCCTGTTGCAAAAGCTGAAAATGTCAGTCCCCACAGGTATGCACAATGGCAAGGAGGGCAGGAGAACTTTTCGAGAACCTTGTTTGAAAACAGGTGCAACTCGCACTATTTTTTCAACAAAAATGTTTGCTATTAGTCGACAACTGCCCACATTATCTCTCCGTCACCCCTGAAAATCTTTGACAAAGGGCTGAATATTGAACTAAGCGAAGTAAGTTCAGGAAAGCATGCTATGCTTCCTTTATAGCACCTTGTTAACAAGTTTAGGTGTTTTGCATTTAGTATTGTGTTGTTTTGTTTGCAGGCAAAGAAGTCCTAAGCATCGTGTCCAAAGCAGGAAGTGCTGGTGCGAATCTCAGCTCTAGAAAGACGACATTCTGTGTTTACTTTTATTTTATCCTTTAAAAACAATTTATTCATGAGTATTTGCCACCTGCTCAGTATGGCAATAATGTTTTTTTTTCTTTCATCTAGTCATCGGTTGTGGACATTTCTTTTAAAGCCTTTTCCTAATCATGTGTTCCAGACAGGTTTTTAAGCTTTTTATAGCTCTATTTTTACTTTTGCAACTTGAACATTTATAGCTGCTCGGTATGAGAATGCGGAGAGCTCAAACTCCTCTGAAACGCCCTCGCGGTTGGAGTAGGATGTGAACGTTTGAGAACATTTAATAAAATTATAATAAAGAGAAACAATTTTGGTATGAAGCGGGTCCACTGTAAAACCGTAAGATGACATTTTAGTTCTTGTAGCATTCATTTTAATGAGAAAGTTTGTGAGCAGGAAAAATAATCATGCTTTCTTTCATGATGGCAAGCTTTTTCTACCAAAATTAGTGCTAGCATTCTCGGTGCTATTTTTTATGTACCGCAAATTAGGCTTAAGATGGACGTCAGCTCATAGAGAAATTTAGTTTTTTTTTTATTATTATTATCTTTTGATCCATGTAATGTCGTGTTTTCAAACTTTTGCACCCTACTCCAATCGCCAGGGCTACATTCTACCAGAGTTTCAGGTCGTTGTAATGTCTAGTTTATTTTTGCGGTAGAGAAACACTGTTGAGTTTTCTCGCTCCTTTCTTTAATTATGTGAGCTTCATGAACCCAATTTACAGGCCTTCAAGCTTCTTCGAAAGTGTGAATTTTTTTCATAATTGTTCTCTTTAATTTTTTTTTTAGAGGGAAAATAATTTTAACTGCATAGGTCTAGCAATATTGTCGCTGCTCATGTACACTTCAATGTTCCAAATTTGGAGAGTCAATAAATGTACTCATAAACATTTACCAAACTGTTTTCTTTTCACAGCAGGGGTAGACTGCAATTAATCACCTGGGAATCATGGTGTTCGGCGCAAAAAGAACAACGGACCTAAGAGAGAAAACAGACATACAGGTGCCACTCACAACTATATATATTTGAAAAGTTCAGAAAAACAGGATTACATCTATCGTCATCTTCATCACGTCCACGCATGCGCTTAGCCATGTGATATACGCCTCATCTAACACATGGCTAAGCGCATGCGTGGACGTGATGAAGATGACAATGTATGTATTCCTTTCTTTCTGCACTTTTCAAGTACAGTTGTGAGTGGCACCTGTATGTCTGTTTTCTCTCTTGTGCCCATTGCTTTTTTGCGCCTTACACTATGATTTCCAACGTTCACCAACTAGCCCAACTGCAAGTTCTTCTACAATTAATCACCTGTATGGTAGCTTATTTGTGCTGTGCTAAATCTGGTGATGGTTGTATCCCACACTTTTTACCAAGGGAACACTTTTTTTCTTCAATTAGTGGTGTGTCGAGTGGCATTATGGCTAAGCTGAATAAATGAATTTCTGATTATTCGTCCCCGGGAATGTGTGAGGCGCACACAGCTGTTTATGTTCTGAACAAGTGTCTTTCTATATTTATGCTTACATCTGTTGTCACAAAGAAGCTTTGTGATGGTTTAGTGTTCAATATTTTAAATTATGCCTCTCACAAACACACTCTGTTCAATTACTGGGACAACCAGTATATGGCCAAACAGATTTGACAAGTTTGGAAGAATGATAAACATAGATCAACTTTTGTTTGCTTGTTTATCATTCTCTGCTTAGATCTCACTTGAAACTTTGGGTGAAGAGTGCAGATATATTACAATAATCATAAATTAAAAGGCCATTTGGAGTAGAATCCTTTTCTGACATATATGTACAGACGCGGAAAGATTCAACGAAGCCACAGGAGCGTGCGGCCTCGAGATACGCGCGCACTTCATGACGGCAGCGAAAAGAACTAGTATCGATGGCTGCTGCAGCTAGCTGTGAAATTAGCTGCTGTCAGCATCCGTTTAGATGACCTGCTCTGCCGCCTTGCTACCATACTAACGACCATACGCCTAGAGTGGCACTCTCTACACTGCATCTCGATAAGGCTGGTTATCTGTATCGAATAAGCTGATTGTGTTTACTTGGAATTGCGGAACGCAACAGAATGCCTTTCCTTTTTTTTCGCTACAGTTCCAGTGAAGCACAATAAGCTTTGATTCACATCACGACAACCATATTGAACCAAAAGCATGCATCATTGCAAATAAAGTTCTTGAAAAGCGCATTGTCTGTTCAGCTGACAAAACATTTCAATGTCAGTGTACAGTGCACCACTTTAGGCAAATGACTGTCAGTACGGGAGCAGTGCAGGTCATATAACTGGGTGTTGATAGTCGCTAATCTCGCAATCTACCAGTATTTAGAGGGGATAGTTCCCCACGCCACCGGCAGGACGCGCACACATAGTTCGAGGTTGCACGCTACTGTGGCTTTGTTTTTTTTTTGTTTTGTTTTTTTTACGATTGTATTAGCAAAAAGCGCACCTAGCTTGGTTAGTGTTCACGGAAAAAAAAATGCAATTGCTTTTATGAAAACATTTTTTGGGGGGACTGTTAAGAGTCACGAAGACAAACCACAGATGTCTGTTTTATTTAGTCTTTTCACTGGTGTGGAATATTGAAATGTGTTAATCTGCTGTTTTGAAAAGGTCTAATAATGATTGTGCCTCACATTTTTATGCTCATTGCAAAGCCCCCATCTTCTGAGTAAACAAAACTCAATAATAGCTAGGGTGTCATTGCTGTGTGGAATTGTTTTGGCCCACCATATATTGTTTCAAGGAGTGTTAATGCTTGTGAAACAGAAGAGAACGTTACTGCACTGGTGAAATGTCTGCAAAGTTTGGAGGAACACTTCTGAACCATAAAGGCATATATATACTGTGTGTAGGGCACATCTGAACTAAGGCTACTTCAAACACTAATTTGACTGTGTTGCAGGGCTTGCACCTTGGTAAGACGACTGAGTTACCGTACGTGACAGGCGTTGCCATGGCAATTCACCGTCTCTCGGCAAAAGCCCTGGCAATGCAGTCAAACACAACTGTCTGAACCAGACTTTTACAGTATATATTTGTCTTCATGGTTCAGAACACTCCTCCGAACATTTTGCATACATTTTGCTGTAGTCGGTGACAGGTCAAGAACCAAGTGGAAGCTCCTCCCACCTCTTTCCTCTTCAGTAGAGCAAACGCTGGAGAGGAGGCGACCTCCTCTCCAGCGTTTGCTCTGCTCAAGTGGAAAGAGGTGGGAGGAGCTTCCACTTGGTTCTTGACCTGTCACCGACTATAGTGGGGTAATAACATGTTTTACGAATGTTACTATAACGTTTACCAGAACATTATTTTAATGTTTTGTAAACATTATATTTCTGTTGTAATAACGCTGCGTAAAGGATTTATTTATGTTGTACAAATGTTACTACAATGTTTACAGTAATGTTATGCTAATGTTTTCCGGACATTGTATTTACGTTGCAAAATTGTTTTCCAAGTGTTCAAATAACGTTTATCAAAACGTTATAAGAATGTTCTGCCAAACGTTCAAATAGCTTTATACAGGCGGACATTAAGAACATTCCTCGAACGTTTGGGACGAACATAAAAATAACATTATTCTAATGTTTTCATGTTACCTGGGTAGAG